AGGCAAAGCGGGAAGCCAAGAAAACGGTGGCTAAAGCAAAGGATAGACATACAAGGAAATGTAAGAGATTAGACACCAAGGAAGGACAAAACGGCATCTTCAGACTAAATCCAGGGAGAATAGGAATAATGATCTAGGTAGCATTAGGTTTATTAAGGACAACAATGGTGTTTCTTTTAGTGAAGATCATGATATTAGAGGGTTTTTTGGGTAATTACTTCTTCGGCTTATTTAATGACGGTGCCTCTCCCTGTAGAGATAGTACCATTGATGGGTCAACCGACCATTATACTACGGCCAATGACTGCCCTACAAGTAGGATTGGGTTTGAGGAAGTCAAAATGGCTCTTAGAAAGATGGGGAGGGACAAAGTTGTCGGTCCAGATCAAATTCCTATCACTGTGTGGTTGGCCCTAGAGAAGAGGGAGTTAAGTGGTTGACCACATCTTTAATATTATTTTAGAGACTGCCAAGATGCCTGAGGTGGAGAGAGTCTACGGTGATACCAATCTATAAGAATAAAGGAGATCCCCAACGTTGTGGCAACTACAGAGTATTAATTACTCAGCCATACCATGAAGCTATGGGAAAGGGTGATAGAGGCTAGGTTGAGACAGGTTACTAAGGTTTCGGAAAACCAATTTGGCTTTATGCCAGGCAGGTCTGCTACGGAGGCAATTCATCTACTTCGACGGCTTATGGAGAAATATAGGGAAAAAATAGAGATCTTCACATGGCGTTCATTGACCTTGAGAAGCGTATGGTAGCGTTCCCCGCGATACGATCTGGAAGACGTTTGGAAATGAGACGGATCCCATCTGCTTATATTCGGCGATTCGTGATATGTACTGTAGATATACTACATACGTCAGGACTACAGTTGGCGACACCGAGCATTCGGTGGAAATCGAACTCCACTAGGGATTGGCTCTTAGCCCTTACATTTCGCCTTGATTATGGACGACATTTATTGTGCGACATCAGACGGTGTTCCATGGTGTATGCTTTTCGCTGACGACAATGTCCTAGTTGCAGAAACAAGAACCGAGCTAAATAGTAGACTGGCTACCTAGAAGACTGCTTTAGAAGAAAAAGACCTAAGGATCAATATTGAAAAGACAGAGTATTTATGTTCAAACTTCAGTGGGAACCAAAACGATGAAGATGTAGAAGTATACATAGAAGGACACGTTCTCCCATTAAAGGATTGTTTCAAGATGATACATAAAGATGGGGGATAGATGATGACGTTACACACCGTATAAAGGCGGGATGGCTAAAGTGGAGGGTTGCTACTGGAGTTTTGTGTAACAAGAAGGTGCCTCAAAAACTTAAAGGAAAATTTTATAGAATGGCAATAAGACCAGCGCTACTGTATGGATCAGAATGTTGGGCAATCAAGAAGGATCACGTAAAGAGGATGGAGGTCGCAAAAATGAGAATACTTCGATGGACATGTGGTAGGACTCTGTGGGACATGATACCAAACTCTGCAATTAGGATGTCCTTGGGGATGGTGTTTGTATCCAAAAAATTGAAGGAGGGAAGACTACGGTGGTTTGGGCATGTCCTTCGGCGACAACCGTCGGATGCGGTCAGGAGGGTAGAGTCTATTACAGTCGACGGTGCCAGAAGGAGAAGACGACCAAGGAGGAAGTGGGAAGACTGCTTGAGATCTGATTTGAAGGATTTAGTCATTACCGAGGACATTACCTCTGATAGGAAAGTATAGAGACTTAAGACCAGGGTAGCCGAGTAGTACGGATCACATCAATAGGGTGTATCATCTCTATCTTCTTTTAATTCCTTTGTAGTAATTTCCATGACTTCTACTTTTTATATGTTTCTGTCATTTGAATTTATGAAAACTTAGAACTAGGGTAGCGGAGTAGTGTTGCCTTAGTTTAGGTTTTAACCCATTTGACATTATTCTTTCTCTTAGCTTGCTATTGTTGACTTTTATGTATCTTTCTCTTCATGTTTCCTCTTTTTAAATTTAGTCGGGTCTTACGTTTCTGTCTATATGCAGAGATTTTTAACGCAGGAATTTATTTGCATGGATTACTTCCCATTCGATTCACGCATATGAAAAATGCATATGAAGACTGTTCAACTATGTATTTATTTATTTATTTATACATGTATTGCATTTTATCTCCATTTTTAATTTTCTGACTGCCGGAGGTCTTCCACGGAAGCTGCTCTCAAACTAGCATTGAGGGCAGCCTACTACCCTACCTCCCCTTACCCCATTACATATGGGAATGGGGTTCTGTTGTTGTTGTAAGTAAAATACAAATAACGGTTTAAAGGAAAACTTAAAAGGTCATTGGAACTGAGGGATAAGTGCACCTAAGGCATAATTTGAAGCATCATTTTCAGTTATAGACAAGGCTGGAGCCAACAAAACTAGTATTAGCAACTATAATAAAAAGGCCACAACAATATGATAGCATGGATCGGACTATAGCAATGCTAAAGGGGCTATTGTCCTCATAATTCAGATCGCAAGCTACTCGATGCAGATACTAATGCAACCATTTTTGTAAAATAATGGTTGATATTCACATGTGGCATAGATAACAAACAAATGTTACCATTACCTTGGAAGGTTCATCACCCTTCTCACCGTTTTCCTTTTTACCTCCAAACAAACCGTATACGCGTAGAGATTTATAGCTCCGCTCGGATTTTGTAGGATCCGACATTGATAAAAACTGCTTACCAGCTAGATTTTTATTCAAATTAAGGTTACCTGATAACATCAGTGGAAAGAATATATTACAATTTAAAAGAAATTAAAATGGGATCCGGTACAACAATTTCAGCCATGCTGCCTAATACTTCATTTCTTATGAATAATAATCACTGGAACAAACCCTTAAATTAAAATCAAAACTTTTATCATGGTCTATTCCGATCCTATATTTTCTCAGCAACCAAACAGGAAGAGAGAGAGAGAGTTACCATGATAGAGTGAAGAGATAGGCTTTTTCCAATCAATGGTTCCAAGTTGATTTGATATTTGAGCAGTCACAATACTCGACGAAGCCATATCCTTTGGAGGTTCTGTTTGCCCAGAAAATAAAAATCAGATCTTTTTACACAAAGCATATATAGCAGAAGAAGATAAGGTGGATGCTTTCTTTCTCTCTTTTCTTTTCCTTTTAGGGTTGCTTATCTCAGGCCCAATTTTGTTTCATTATGTTGCATAGTTCCAACCCAACTTGAAAAGGCCCATAAACTAAATTGATCGAGCGGATGAGACTTTATTTTTTTGTTACATTGAGTAATATGGCTACATCATAGCCTACGGTCTTAGAGTAGCCAATCCTCTAGTATCAGCTCGTAATAACGGAACAATTTTCTTCGGAGGGTTGGTAAGGACATGAGTTCCTTCTTCTCTTTCAAGAGTCATTTTAGCCTGACAATCGATGCATCTATTCTCTTCGAGACAATTGATGCATCTATTCTCTTCGAGCTAAGTATGACAAATTTCGATGACCCATCTTTTCTGAGCGGATGATATATTAAATTTGAAGTTTAAATCTTGACATTATAATTAAAAAAAAAAATAAATCTTGAAATTGTATTTTAATATATACTTATAATATTTTATCTAGATTAATCGGATAATTTTTGAATAACTTCTTAAAGCAAATAAAATACTTACGTACTTACTACCATGGTTTAAAGTAAGTCATTTTATCATAGCTTTTCTAGTTTGATCTCTCCATATGACCACAAGCAGCAATCATTAAAATCGTGCGTTAGACATTCAACAAAAGCCAGCTACTCCCATGACTTGTTCCTCCAAAACAAGTTCAAACCCTAGAGTCATGGTCTAGTTGAAAATTAAAAGTCTTTCGTATTGGATGCAAGCTTTTATATTAGAATGGATGAATTTATAAATAAGGATGACGGATACAAATTATTAATAAAAAATATAAAAATATTTAAATTATATAAGAATTAAAATTTTCAGGGAAACAACTATCTTCGACCATCTCTCGGTACATCTCTACCATATTGCCTCCATACGAGCCTATGAATGTTCCAACCTTAATGCACACCTAAATTCAATATTTCTCTTCTCATTACACACCAACAGCTCCTTCACATTTCAGTTCCAGACCAAATTCTGATTTTGCAAACAGTCATGAGCACCACAAGGCACAAAGTGTCATCAATGGTGGAAATGGCCAACTTGATTTAGAAAGTGCATGCCAACTGCTTTTAAACAGTTCAACAGAAGAAAACAAACAGTTAGAGCAACACAGATTACATGTTTTTTTCCCAAAACCTTTTTGGTTCTCCAAAACTTTTGACATAATTCCATGCCATTGTTTTAAGTTTCACATGGAAAGTAAAACTCTCAGACTGGTTAAAAAGAATCAGAATTCTTGAGGATCTATCGTGCAATTAACCCTGTTTGTTTCAATTTTACTGTCGCATTCCACATAACAGATGGATTGGCAAACCAAGCGAAGCACATGGCGGGTGAAAACTAGCGGGTTTCACCATCACCACTATTCATTAGGGTACACCACCATTCCTTGAAAACAAAGAGGTCATGGTGGGAAATTGGATATAGGCTGGAGCAATGTGAAATAAAAACCATCTCTTTCTTCATTGAAACCAACAGCTGAAACACCTGAGTTCAAACAGGGAAAACCTATTTTTTATCCTTTTGCTGCCATCTTCCCTTTTCATCCCACTTCTTGCATCAAAGGCTTCGCCTTTACCCTTTTCTCTCTCTTTCTTTGGGGGTGGGGAATGAAACAGACAAAGACCAAGAAAATCAAAAGAAAACCAATCTTATTCTCTGTCTTTCTAGTCTCAGCAAAAGAAGAAAAAAAACATGTTTTTCCACCAAGTTGTCATATGGCCTTCGTTGGTCTTTCTCTTTTGTCTCGGTCAGAGTTTTCCACAGACAAAACAGCAAAACGATAACCTTCCTACCTCTCTCTCTCTCTCTTTCTTTCTTTCCCTTTTTCATCAAAGACACTTCTTCTGCCCGCCCCCCTTTTTCTCTCTCCTTTGTATTTCCTTATTTTGGCCTTCTGGGTTCTTTCTCTGAACCTTAACCTTGTGATCTTTAACCATGAATAAGATGAAAGGGGTTGTTGCTGCCATAGAGTATTCTCCATGTGCGATGTACGTGGACCAAAGGATGAGGTTCAAGCACCAGAGTCTTTTGCAAGACTTTGAAGACTTGCACATGGTAACATTTTTCCCCAGATTATTTAGAGTTGGTGCTGGTGTTCTTGTTTTATTTTTTCAATCTTTAAGAATTGGATCTTCTAGTTTCCATTGATATATGTATTTATTTCAATTCATTGCTATGTTTGATGATTAAATTGTTGATTTTTCGACCTAAATCCTTAATGTGTTCTAAATGGAATGCTTTCTCCAATAGAATTTGAGGGATGCTTTATGTTTTCAGGAAACAGATGCCATGAGAAAGAAATTGCAGAAGATGAAAGAGCGAAGACTGACCCTGTCGGCCGAAGTTCGGTATGATGTTGTACCTCCTTTACATTTTACCTTAGAATCTTAGATACCAATATAGAGTTCATATTTCGGTTTTGACCGGGATTTTGTTCTTAGGTTTTTGAGGAGGCACAAGTTCTTGATGCAAAACCGTTCATCAAGCATCGAAGCCAGCTGGAACTTTGTGCAGCCACCGAATACGGTGGTTAGAAGTAAATCCAATGTGAAGGAGAAGAATTCAACAGGAAGGGGAAGTAGTTTGCGCCGCCTAGCTATGTCGTTCGGTCTGAGCCAAAAGAGAAAGACCTATAGTGAAAAGGAAGCCTCTTTCATTCATCATTCTCATATGTTTGACTTAAACCAGAAGCAGCACAAAAATATCAATGGTAAGGGTGATGCTCTTTTGCAAAGGTCTTCACCGATTCTTGATTTAAATCAGAGGGAAAGGCTTTACGGTGGAAGGGAGGCTACTGCTCAAACCATGAAACCAATTTTCGATTTAAAACAGATTTCGGTAATCTATTTATAGCCATGACAAGTTATATTCATCACAACCCCCATGCTATCTTTTAAAACAAACTAATTTCATCTCAATTTGTCTTCCATTGCAGAGAGAGGAAGAATTGCAGTCCATGGACAATTCAAAGAGAATAGAGGAATTCAAGAAAAGTACGATCCGAATTCCATGCGACTGGCAGCACAATGATATTAAAATATCAACCTGCAGGAACACCGGAAACGGACCGAACAGAGTCGGGAAAAGAAAGATCTCATGGCAGGATCAGGTGGCATTGAGGGTTTAAGTCTCTTGTAATAGAAGTTGCTTAGTTGGAGGGGTTGAGAACTAAGTGAATTTAGCTTGCCTAACTGCCCCTCTTTTAATTGATATATGTTCTTCTCGTTCCTCTTTTTGTAAAGAAAATATAGTGGGCATATATAAAATTGCTTCCTTGCAATTTTCTGTGGTGTGAATGGTTGTTGAGAGATTTACAAAATTTTGCTGCTTAGCTTCCGTAGTTGACATTTCCATCTTGCTACTTGAAATGGGTATTTGTTGTAGGCTGGAAGTTCACTTTCGATCACTTCCAATTAGAATGCGACCACAAACATCAATATTTGAGGGTGTATGTGGGTCCGAAACCAAGGTCCTGAAGCAAATGCAAGCACCAAATGATGTCCAAGTGCATGGTGAAAGTTTGTCCAAATGTTACAGAAGAGAGCTTGACTGTTAGGTATAAATTCATGCACCCTTTTGGATCAGATAATGATTCAACAAGGTCAAAACTAATGGCATTTTAGCTCTAAACCCTTGGCATTTAATAATCGATCAATCTTGGGTACATTTTGGGTTTCAGCTAAACTAATCTGATTAGAAATCTCAGAAGGTAATTACAGACCTAAATTTAGCTTTGCTTCATTAGAAATCGCATTAGAGACTGTTGGCATCTAAGCATCATTATATCTTCCCTGCTCAATGACGGTATCTGTGGTGGCAGTAGTGAGGGCAGCTACATTACGTTTACCGACTTCAAGGAGTCGTCGAGTGTGCTTTTTCCCTGTTTTATGATTTTTCATTACCACCCTAGAATGCGTACCGACTGAACAGATTTCACACCAAAACTTAAATTTTCTCTTTTTGCTAAATGGTGTCTTCTTCATCTCATCCATTGCAGTTGGAGTGTGTTTCTCAAGGAAATCTGCAGATTTCTTTTGCAGAAACCATTTCGCCTTTCCCTCTATCGTAATCAGCTGCTCATCCTCTTCATTCTTTATCTTTTCATTGCTAAGTTTGGGTGTCTTCTCCATGTCATCCATTTCAGTTGATGCACATTTCATCTCAAGGGAATCTGCAGGTTTCTCTTCAGTAAACCTTCTCTCGGAATTCTTCTCCATCTTCTTTGCTTTTTTCCTTCCTTCGTTAGCCTTGTGCTTTTTACCTCCAAGGTGTTCAGCCAGAGTTTTCTCACTCGTGACATTGATACGACAAATGGCACACCTCCATTCATCATTTTGTTTCACCTTCGAGCTAATTAACAGTTGACGCAATTTGCTGGTTCCTGCTGGAGGTGGTGTTTTCCGCTTTGCTCCAATAACACGATTAGGATCAGGCTTAGGCTGCATATGTTACACAAAAGAATCAATTAAACGATTGCCAATCACTGTACCATCGGCCTTTCCAACAAAAATAAATCTAACCATCGGCCTTTCTTTCCTGAAAATCTAACAGATATATTGGTTTTTTCTCGGCTGCCATGAGAAACTTTTGAAGCAGACAACAGAATACCAAAGATCAGATGAACTTGAATTGAGATCCCAAAGAAAATGATCAATAAATCATGTAGAAGCATACATGCAATGCATGAAGGATCCGAAACAAAATGAAGCATGCAGCTGCCATCCGTTGCTACAATTCCAGATAACTTGACAAAAGGAAGCATAAATGTTTGAGCAATGCAGAGCAATGAGACCCACATTGTAACAAGTCATGAAAAAGGATGTTGCTAATGGAACAGAAAATTCATCATCAATCTATTGTACTCTAGGAAGAATGAAATAGATCACTATAACACACCGAGTAAAAGCAGCTACGGCAATCTCGGAAAAATATCTTCATCATTGATCCATGGCTGCAAGGTCTCATTAGGAAACAACAAGGCTTAACAATATGAATTAATTGCAAACTCTAGATGCATTACTTGTGCCAATTGCAACACCATCAAACGCGAAACGAACACCATTAAGCTAATATACAAACACAAATCTAGTACTACGGCAACATTAGCTAATGGTCTCAAAGGCTTGATCTTTGTTGGCTAGTTAAACGACCCAACCCATACACTCAAAAGGGTTCTTGCGTCTATGGTCATTGTGCATAAGGATCTTACATGAGAAAACATTGTATATAAAGTTATTTCAAGTTTACGCATTTATACTTGGGCTTACCAGTATAATCAGCTTATTCCTTTTGTCCTCCGACGCATCCTTACCCTGAGAGTCCAAATTCTCTGTTAGCGGTGGGGGGAACACGACCGGCGGCGGCAGCAATGCCGGTGGAAACAAGTTGAAACGAGCCTCAGTCCTCCACCGGTTGAGGCTATGCAAGTGAGGCACGAAAGGAAGCCTGGGTTCGAGGCGCATCGTGAGGCTTTGCTCGTAAGACAAACCCGTTTCCCTAAATCTCTGCCGGGCCGCCGTTTCCCGTTCGGCCATCAACTCCCTCCTCACCTCGGCTTCTAACGCCCTCCGACGCGCGATTTCCGACGCGATTATCTCATCCCTGATCTGCAACTTCTCCCGTTCGACGGTCTCGGTTTACCAAGAATGACTTTACGGTGAGATCGAAATATTTGACCCGACAGTGATGGATTGAAGGTCGAAGACGATGAAGGAGCAGAGATCGAAGATTGATAATCAACCGCTCTGAATTTGAACTCCATTAGGAAGATTTAGGCTTCTTTTTCTTTTCCCAGAGTTTTCAACTCTCAAGGAGTGCTTTTTTTGTGAAGGTTTAGTTTAAGAAGAACAAATATTATGGAAGGAATGTCGACTGTATTAGACGGCGTTTTGGCGCGTGGGAAAAATGGTGTTTAAAAAATAGGAATTGACAGATATGCAGTCTTTTGGTCAAGAAAAGACTCACTTCCAATCAAACTTTGCCACGTTTCTACGCTTTTCATATCAATTTACTTTTTTATTTGGGTTAACTACATGTTTATAATCTTATTTTTAATTGTATACGTTTTTGGTCACTGATTTCAAAACTCATAAGATATAATTATTTATATTTTTATTTCAACAAGATTTGATCACCCGGAGCTAACAGCCGTTAACAACATTTAAATATTTTGATACATTCACATATTTGATATTTTTTATTTATATATTCTCTCAATTTAATCATACTTTTAATATATTAAAATAAATTACATATTTTTAAATTAAGTTAATAGTAAAATATATTTAAGTTAATATATAAAAAATTATATTATATATAATTCTTATCACAGGTACTTGGTTCATAATTTTTTATTTTTCTTTAAATTATATATTTTTTAAAAATTATATAAAATTCTAAAATTTAAAGTCTATGATATATAATCCACACATAAAGTTCAAAAATTCAAATTATATAATTTAACTAAAATGTATTAAAATTTAAAATAAAGAAACATAATTAAATTTCAAATGTTTTGAAGTTAAAATAAGTATTTTAAAAAATAATTTAGAATGTTAATGTGAAATAATTTAATAAATTAAGAATTTAGATCTTTATGGTGTTATGGTGTCAAAAGTTAAGAAATTAGGATTTTAGAATGTTAGAGTGAACTAATTTGAGGATTATAATAAAAATTTAATATAAAATGAAAATGAAAATAGAAATCGAGCAGTGAGTCAATGGGTACTCGATTAACCAACATTTTGTGACTCATGCTCGACCTAGAAAGTAGAAACCTGGTCAGGTACCTGACCAGGAAAATCAATATAAATACCCAATATTTTTAACTGGGTCAGCGGGTCGACAGATCAGCTCAATCGGGTCGGTATTTTTGAGCAACCTTACTGGCATAACATGTGCATCTTTCTATTGGATAATTAAATTTATTTTAATTTATTAAAAGTGTGACTAAATTGAGAGAATATATAATAACATGGACCAAATGTGTGATTATATAAAAATATTTAATTGTTTTTAATAGTAGTTAACTCTTGGTAACCACATCTTAATTAAATAAAAACGAAAGTGGCCGTATCTTAATTAAATAAAACGTAAGACCATATCTTATGTATTTTGAAATTAGTGACAAAAAATGGACAAAACTAAAGATAAGTGATCAACCGTGTAATTAACCCTTTTTATTTTTAAAAAGCAACTTCAATTAATTGCTTTTAATGTTGTAAAATATCTCAAAAGTACTCTTATATGAATTAATTTTTAATAAATTAACAATATTTTTTAATTTCACAAACAAAATTATGAAATTTTATATATTTATTCTTTTATATTTAAGTTTCCTATATTTAAATCTTTGTTTTTGTTAGTTTGTTTATACACTTTGAATTTTTGTGAAATAATTTGTTATATCAGTTTTTTTATTATATAATATTTGGTCTAATTTTAAATAGAGATAAAAGATTTATTTATAATTGTTAGACTTTTGTGGAAGATAAAACAAATATTTAAAAGTTGATTTTTTCACACCCTTTAAATTATCATCTTAAAATTATATATTTAATAAAAACTTAATTTTATTAAAAAAAATAACTACATATAAAATTTTAATCCATTTACGTAAGATAAATAAATATCTGCCATTTTGTTATGTTATTATTCAAAATTGAATCTTTAATATCCGTTAAAGGAATATCATCCAATAATGATTTAAAATGTGGTCTAAAATTTACTTGCCTATTATCCAAGTGACCTAGTGGTGGTAGAGGGAGTGTCATTCTCTGTAACTATTTCAAGTTTAAATTCGAAAAATTATGTTTATAAGATTTAAATGTCCATGGTTAATTAACTAAAAAAAGTATAAACACATAATACTTTACAATTACCATATTTTAATTTTTTTAAATATATAAATAATTTCAGTTCAGGTAATGCCAACTTCACTGACGGAAAGTAATCAATGAGACTAAGGGATTGTTTGTTTACTTCATAATGATTAAGCGCTGAATGATTCAAATACTGAATGATTCAGAGGCTCTGAATTATTTGACTCTGAATGTGACATGTTGTTTGATAACTGGCTCTGAATGATTCATAATGTACTTCTGTGCTGAATCATTTAGTATTGTTTTGCTGAATCAGTCAGCACTGTTTTGCTGAATCAATCAGCACTGAATCATTCAGAGATGCGAAACAAATGCGCTGAATGCTGAACCGTTCAGCATTCAGCGCTGAATGATGAACCGTTCAGCATTCAGCGCTGAATGATTACATTAAGAGGCAAACAAACAGCCCCTAGGTTGAAACACAAAAATTGAATGAATGGCGTAACAAAAATTTCTTTTAGAAACAAAGACTTACGTACGACGAAAATGATATTGAAGCACTATCAAATAAGATTAAAATCATATAAAACCTGAATTTATTTAAAAGGAATATCATATAAAAAGTAAAAATTAGACGCCATATGTTTCAATAACCGTCACATTTTGACATTTCGTTTTCGACTGTGAAGAAATCGGACCAAGCATTTGAATTATAAAAGAAGCCCGAATGATAAGTTGTTGGCCGTCCGACATCCTTCGAAGCCCGCTGTCGTGCCTACTGAGCTCCCCATCGACTGACGACTCCAACCCAACCGCTAATTTATTGAGAAACGACGTTGTTCGCCGTGGTTTAGCCTACAAAAAGTCGTTATCGAGTCAACCCACACGTCCGACCCGCCTGGTCCGGTCCAGTCATCGAGTCAACTCGGTCCGAGTCAACCCGTCCAAGTCAACTCGGTATGAGTCAACCCGTCTGAGTCAACTCATCTGAGTCAACTCGTCTGAGTCAACCCGTTGACTTTGACCATTGATTTTGACCAAAAAGTCAACTTTTTCGAAAATGTCATATTTTATGTTTTTCAACGTCTTGAGTCCGAATCCGAAGTCCGCTTTTCCAAATTCGCACCCGGTTATCCGTTTTTCAATGTTTTATCTTCATATTCAAATTTGTTTCTAAACTGAGTTCAGTTTCTGATGTAAATTCAGTTACTTTGTATCCGAGGAATCATTGGACATTGGATTAAAGTTCGAGGGCAATCGAATGGAGTTTAAATAGTCGATCGATATGACACGAAAACCAAGGTAGTACTCTACTACCTTTTATATGTTTTTTGGAACTCATTGATAGATGGTAATTGCATGAATGGAAATGATTGGTCCATTAGATGAAATTAATTATCATTGGACTCAGACGTAAATTGGATTAAGGACAAAACACGATATAAGACTCAGATGACCAGATAAAAGAGAAATTGGAAGGTCATTCGGAAATAATTATAAGTTTAGTGATTCAATAATAAATGAATTGGTTTCAAGATCCGTATATTGTGATAAATCACTTTAAAGGTTAAATATCAAGATTATTTGGATAAGAAATTACCAAAAAATAACCCTATAAGGGTAAAATTATGAAAATGCCCTTGTGCTGTATAAGACCAAGATTTCCCCAGATGGTGAAAGATAAACCAGAAAAGACATACTTGACTAGTTATCAAAAATAGTACATATGTTTGAATTAAAAAGAATTACCAAATTGTCCTTGAACTATAATAACCTCTACTGATCAAAGGAGCAAAATAACATGAACACTAAAAGAACTAGAATACATTCAAGCCTAATTTATCAAAAGTATGCCACTGACATTTTTTAATGAAATAACGATGATACGCTTAAAGTATTAAGCACAATAGATGGATATGATATGGATCGACCTCATAACTCATATCTTGATTCACTTGAACCTTGGAATCATTGAATTAAATTTCGGATCTATATTGGAAGTATAGAATATCCCTGAAGTGTACAATGACCAAAATATCCCTAAAGTATAAAATGATCTAAAATACCTCTAAGCCATGGAATAATTAATACCCTTAACTCTGAAATGAACAAATCAACCTCGAATACCAAAATAACTTTATTATATGACCAAATTGAACTGAATAGAAGTACAATATATATATCTGAAACTCAGAAACGTCCGAATTACTTTGGAAAACTCTAAAGTGATCGGGATAGACATAACTACTAAATGAATTAGGTAACCTCAATGACTGAGGATTAACTAAGTGATTTGGATAAGTCTGGAAACACCGATAAACTTGCATGATGTATCGTTCATAAAGGTTATGAACCACGAATTAAAGTACATCGACAATTGCTGATATTGTTGCAATGTGGAAATAAAATAAAGACCATTGGAATATTTGTTTATTTCCTTAAGATCTATTCAACGATGATCCTGAAGATGATCTATGAACAAGAATTGTTGGTATTAAAGAGTGAATATCCTGGAAGGGCAACGAATTAACCGATCGACATGCATTAGTTCTAGGAGTTGTTCAGCTCGAGTTATTTCGATAATCAGATAGGTCGACACAGATTGTAAATGTCCTGAATCTTCGTTTCTCCCTTATCAACTCAAATCACTCTGTTCATATCTGAACACACAAGTAACTCAATGCAAAGGGTCCTAAATACCCTATTTGGTTCAATTGGACTAAAATCCTATTATTCAATGCATAATCCTGAATACCCCTGATTGTTTGAGTATGGAATCACTCTCAATAAATCTGAATCTAGAATTTATTATGTATAAAGGTTCTAGAACACCTTCTTGATGCACCTGAATCATAGTTGGATTCTAAAGTATCAACTTTAAATGTCTGATTAGTTCTATTAGTAATCGATTCCTTTCAATAGGACCTCGTTCCTGGAATTCGATCAAAT